TTCTCTCTCAAACCATCGTTCCTCTCTGTCCAGGATGTGAACATCTTCATCCTTGAAAGAGTGACCCCTGGCCTGGAGATGAGTGTAGACCGCAGAGTCCTGGCCTGATGATGTTGATCTTCTGTGCTGGGCCATCCTTTTGGCCAGTGGCTGTTTAGTTTCTCCGATGTAAGACTGATCACAGCCCTCCTGACACTGAACAGCATACACAACATTACTCTGTTTGTGCCGGGGGACTGGATCTTTGGGATGAACCAGTCTTTGCCGTAATGTATTTTGGGGTTTAAAAGCCACTGGGACGTTATGTTTAGAAAATAAACGTCTCAGTTTCTCTGATACCCCCTCAACATATGGAATGACCACTGGTCTGGGTCTGGGTTCCTCCTTTTCACCTGATGGCTGACTGGAGTCCTGTTTGGGTTTCTTCTCTGCTTTCAGGAAGGCCCAGTTAGTGGGGATGCTGTCTGCTCTGTGGTACAGAGTCCTGATGACTCCTAACTTGTGCTCCAAAGGGTGATGGGAGTCAAACTGCAAATACTGGTCTGTGTGGGTGGGTTTGCGGTACACCTCGGTTTGCAAATGTCCTCTATCCGAGACTGAGACCTCACAGTCCAAGAAAGCCAACTTGCCATTTTTTACATCTTCTCGTGTGAACTTGATGTATTTATCCACAGAGTTGATGTGGTCAGTAAAATGTTGGACTTCCTGAGTTTTAATTTTAACCCAGGTGTCGTCAACATACCTGAACCAATGACTTGGTGGTGTCCCTGAAAAGGACGTCAAGGCTCTCTTTTCTACCTCCTCCATGTACAAGTTGGCAACAATAGGAGAAACTGGAGACCCCATAGCACACCCATGTTCCTGCCTATAATATTGCTCCCCATATGTGAAGTAGGTCCACTTATTTACATTCAGCTCAGTGAGAGCGTGTGTCTTGTTCAATAGCTCTTTGTAATTCATCCTTCTATTGATTAAAGCACAGATGGATCTCGCAGCAGATCTGTTCAGACCAAATCAATGAAGCGCTGCGGTTTGCTTCTTAATTTCTATCATCATTAATTACTGCAAGTCCATTCAATTGTCCTACATCATCGTTTAAAAAGAAACTCTGACGGACGAAAAGCACCTCGATGTTTCGTTCTTATCATATACCCACGGAGCAAGTTTACTTTTCATTGCCTAAAACGTACAGGTTGCTTTAATAATGAATGGGCTTTGGTTCTTATTGTAATGGCTTTCACTTGGGGGATAAATCTGCATCTTATCTGTTTTCCTTTCTCACCATACAGCCAGAACAAAGGACACCCTGCTCCAAATACCTGAGCATCACTCTTATCTTTCACAAAGTGGAGTTTCAGCACATAGCAGCTCAGCGTGCGCATGTATGTGTGTGTGTGTGTGTGTGGTGAAGAAAAGGACAAGGACAAGAGCAGTGAGGAAGATACGGTGCGTTTGTGGGAAGCAGTGAAAGGGAAACTGTCCATCACCGAAGTGACAGGCGAGGGCGGTGAGTCAGTGCGGGAGTCGCAGCATCTCCAGCTGTAATGCTGACTGACACAGTGTCTGATGGAAGTGTTACTCACAGAGATGGCCTGCGACGCAAACTGTCCAATCAATGGCAGTCTGCAGCTCCCACGCGAACACACACACACAAACAAAGCGTCATAAAATAAAACTAACAAATTAAAATACGCCAAAGGAACAACTTCAGTTTGCTTAGTTGCTGTTCGATTACTGTAACAGAGCTTAAAGAAGATCTCGGGATTCTGTGGAACCGTTCTCAGCAGTTTAGTGCACGTCGGTGCACACTGCATCCTGATGAATGTTTGCAGCTGGAGCAGTAGACATACAGGTGCAGCTAAAAAAATATTAGAATATCGTGAAAAAATAGTGTTTTTGTCAATCACTTCAGAAAGTGAAACATATATTATATAGGTTCGTCAGATGTAAAGTGAAATATTCCGAGCCTTTATTTCTTGTCATTTTGATGATTATGACTCATAAATAATCAAATTAGAATAATGTGAAGATGTTCAATATTGTAAATTCCTGATGTCACACCCTGATCAGCTGATTAACTCCTAGACATGAGCTACAAATGTCTCACTCCTCAAGTCGAGCCACTCCTGAACCAGAGGCATCATAAGTGTCTTACCTGGTTGAAGACAAAAAGAACTGGACTGTTGCTCAGTGGTCCAACGTCCTCTGTTCAGATTGAAGTAAATTTCATGACATTTGGAAATCAAGGTCCCAGAGTCTGGAGGAAGAGAGTTGAGGCCTAGAATCCATGTTGCTTGAAGTCCAGTATGAAGTTTCCAGTCAGTGAGGGTTTGGTGCCATGTCCTCTGCTGGTGTTGGTCCACTGTGTTTTCTGGAGTCCAGTCAACGCAGCATCTACCAGCACATTTTAGAGACTTCATGCTTCACTGTTTCCTCACAGCAAAAAGGTTGTAGGTTCCATTCTAAATTGGACCTGGGGTCTTTCTGTGTGGAGTTTGCATGTTCTTCTCGTGCTTGTATGGGTTTTCTTCGGGTTCTCCGGTTTCCTACCACACACCAAAAACATGCATGTTAGTCTGCCTTCAGGCTCAGGCCTCCCTTGCAAAAGAGATCTGTGATCTCAATGGGATTTGCCTGGTTAAATAAAGGTTAATAATAATGTGCCTTATGTATGAAAACAGACCCGTTCATTGACGTTGCGCCTCATAGTCCAAAAGGTACGGTATTTAATATATGAATTTCACTTTATGAAATAATTAACAAAAAAAAACCACTTATTCACGATAATTTAATTTTTTCAGCTGAACCTGAATATTTCAAATATTGTACCCACTCAGTATAATTTGTATGCAACAAAGAAACAACAGTTTTGCTCCATATCTTATACAGAAAGTGCCCTTTTCTCTGCTTGCGCTTGAAGAATGGCCAGCTAGGAGGCTCTGACTTACCTGAGAAGGTAAACTCATAATGTACAGCTTCAAACAACAATTCAAATCAACAATAGATGTGATTTTATAAGAGGCACACATCTCAAGCTGATTCTTTCTCCTGGATAGCACTAATCATTCCATTCTCAGCTATTTCCTTCACACGGATTGTTTTATAATAATACACAATGTAGAGTGGATAAATACATGCGTACAGGCACACAGGTTATTGTTTTTCCTTTAAATACTGTAAAATCACAGATATTTTGTTCCTTATTAATACATGCGAGTCATTATTGTTTCTCTCTGTGCAAACTGAAGCTGACAGAGGTGACTGCCAGCATTTGTGCTAAAGATAAATCAGACCAAACTGCTGACGTGAAAAACTGTTTTACACATTATGCACAACTTTTATTTTATTTACTTTTGGATCTGATCTGCTTTAGACATTTTCAGAGGAATGTTTTATTGTTTAAGCCACGTTTTCCCTCACCTATGAATCATTCAGATATATATTTTAAAAAAAGGACTAAAATTCAAGGAAAGCACTAGCGTTCTGCTAATTGTGTCTTTAAGCACTAACAGCCTGGCTCAAAAACAGTCGGGTCCACTTTCTTGAGCTGAGTCTTTGAAAATCACTAAAATGTACAGCTCGGCGGGCAGAAAACACCATTTCAGCAGCAACACAGTGAGTTTCAAAGCGCTTTTAACTAAACTTTTTACACCAGCTGAAGGATGATGGATGTTCTGTGTTGAACATTGCTTGAGTTTTTTTTTTTTTTCTGTTTCTTTAAGAAATTAAAAGAAAGAACTTCATGGTGGTTTAAAACACTTCCACAGCCTTTAAATCCTTGAGTTGCCCCTGTCCAGACTCTCTTACTGTGTGTTGATTCCATAATAATCAACATTACCTTGTTCCACCCACCAAAAAATTGTACAATTTATTAGTTTAAACATTTGATTTCTTTACTATGTTGTGAGTGTGGACACGTCCTAAACTAGTTTCCTGTTAGCAGCTGGTTTTGGTTGTCAGCAGCAAACTGGTTGATTCACTCTGAGAAGGTGCTATTTAAGAGACTGAGCTGAATACAGCACCTCAGACTGAGGAAGTCTCTCGGATGAGAGACGAAACGTATCTACATTTTTTTGCTGTGTTTTTTTTTTTTTTTTGAATGTCCAGAGGACCAGATTGAACTTTTCTGGATTTTTCTACCTGGATTATTGAGCATGCATCAGGATCGTTTCCTGTTATTTAGTCAGGGCCCGCCCAAGACATAAGCAACCTAAGCTGCAGCTTAGGACCCCGGGGCCACTAGGGGGCCCCCTAAGTGGAATTGATTTTTTTTAAGTAATGATTTTTATATGATTCTATTTAATATTTTAAGTTCAGCTATTGCAAATTGTTGCATACATTTACATAGTTTTAAGAACTAATTATTCAACTTTAAATTTATTTTTTTTAAACCATTTTACGTGGTTTCAAGTAACTGTTCATTTACATAATTTTCTTGATATTTTATTTTATTTTGTCTGTTTTTGCACAATTTTATTTACTTTTATGCGTCAAAGTTATTTTACTTGTTTGCTGTTGATCTTGCGCTACAAATTATTTTGAACACTGCTGCAGTTCTTTGGAACCAAAGATAATAAAGCAGATGACACTTTTGCTGTAAAATACATTGCATACTGGTATTTTTTTTTTCTTTTGTTACTTTTAGTATCATTATCTTATATATACATATAGGATCATGTAAACAGGGCTGTCAGAGTCACAGTGAGTTAGGTGGGTGAATGATCTGATCATCTGACTATTGATTGCAGACCTTAGCAGAAATAGAGGTCCCCAAACCAAATTGTGCTTATGGCCCCATAGAGACTTGGGCCGACACTGCATCTAGTATCAAACTTTTTGAACACTGCTAACTCCTCTAGTGTGTGTCAGCAATAAGACTGCATAGGTCTTCACACAGCAGAGAGAAACATGAAATCCATCCTTATGTTTTCATCATAGAATACCCCAGTCTCTGGTTACCATCTTTGGTTTTAATCTTGTGGGACTTGGCAATGCAAGCGATGCCTCAGCTCCAGCTGTGCACCATCCTGAATATTTTGCATAATAAGCTTCACCACTGGAGGCCAAACTACTGCAAGCTGAGGGTCAAACTCAGAAGCAATACACAATTTTTTCGGCAGTGCCAAGTTTTATTATTCTTTTTTTTTTTAATACTAACAGGACCAACACACACACAATCCCAACTACGCAGAACTAAACTCATCTGCTGCTCAGTTCATTCAATAGTTCAGCTTCAGACCAAGGAGTGTGGCGTTTTATCCAGAATGTGCAGATTACTTCCCACCGTTTGCTCACATTTGCTTTAAGTGAACAGAAACATTTCATTTCCATTTTTTTATTGTATTTGTTTGACCGTTGTGTTTGTAATAAAACGGTGCATAGAACAAATTATTACTGGAAGCAGCTGTTTTGACAGGTGCCCGTTGTCTGGCTGTGTTTGTGTGCTCAGGTGCCGTGTGCTTCGTTAGCCGGCGAGGAAGGTGCCACAGGTGACTGGGCCGCGTGCCTGGATCCAAATTACAGCCTGATCCACAGAATACAGAGCAAACACTGCAGGGTGTACTCTTTTGGGTGAGTATTTACTCATGTACTGTGATGGAGTTTCGACAAGGCGTACCCCGCCTCCGTCATAGTGACAGCTGTAGACAGACACCAGCTATTAGACTCTATATTTCCAAACCAAGGTCATCCAAAGAACTGTATAGAACATCACTTTAAAAAAACAAATCTGAACACTTTAAATAAAAAGAGTAAAACAAACCCTTGACCTCCCTGAGACTCGAGAGGAAACCACTCTCAGTTGGCTTTTGCAGCTTGACCTGCTTGCCCTGCATGTGCCAGGGGTTAAACAGAAGTACAGAGGGATCTTCCTGCAGGCAGAGAAAGAGAGAGTGAGCACATTAATCTGAGTAAGAGATGCCACAGGTGTGTTGGCGTCACGGCAGGCAGAGTGTCAGAAAGGTCAGCGCTCCGCTACTTCTGGCTCCTCGATTCGGGGATCAGACGTCAAATAAAGAGGTTGGTGAAGCTCAAAGGTGATCTCATCTTACATACTTCAATAATTAATGCACATTTCTTCATGCAGGGACTTGATCAAACACTTTCATGTTTCACGTCGGTGTATGACCTGACTCGTTTTCTCTCTCGTAATCCAACAGATCCTTTAAGATCTGTGGAATTAATTCAGCAAATGCAAAAAAAAAAAGTGAAACATGCACACACTGAGCATCCTCCAACCTGGTGAGGCTGGCACTAATCTGTCAAAAGATTCCGAAGTGAAATGCAGCCCACAGCTGCATATCAAACTGGATTCAATCAAAAGGTCGAACATCATCTGGAGTGTGTGTGTAGTTCAAGCACAAGCACGCTCTGGTTCTGTGTTTGTGTGAGACAGATCCACCTCACTTACTCGCTGTTTAACGAGGCGTGGACAGCTGCGCCTGCATAGGCACTATGAGCAGCTGCTCTGATTGGTCCACTGTGTGTTGCATGTGAAGCGGTGAGGTTGCTGGATTGCTTCCCCCACTAAAGACCAGTTATCCACCTTGTTGTCCCCTTTACTCAGATTTCAGCATCATACTCATTTTTGCTTTATTTTCCCCCCATTCATAAATAATGCAGATGTGAGCTGTGTATTTTTATACATTTTTGTCTTCTTACTACTGCTGCATACTTTGTCATTATATACTTTTTTTATTCATTCAACCTTTATTTATACAGGTTAGTCTCACTGAGCCACGAGGACTCATTTACAAGAAAGACCTATTTTAAACAAAGAACACAGATGAGGTACAGACAACAATAGACAATCATAAAAAGTAAAGGCTAACAGTAGCAATGAGCTAAGTAAAGGCTCAAGGTAGCAAAAGGCTAAGTAAAGGCTAAAGGTATCAAAATGCTAAGTAAAAGCTAAATGTATCAAAATGCTAAGTAAAGGCTAAATGTAGTGATGGGATAAGTAAAGGCTAAAGTTAGCAAAAGGTTATGTAAAGGCTAAAGGTAGCTAAAGGCTAGATAAAGGCTAAACCTAGCAAAAGGTTACATAAAGGCTAAAGGTAGCAAAAAGTGCTAAAGGGAACAACAGGCTAAGTAAAGGCTAAAAGTGACAAAATGTTGAGTAAAGGCTAAAGGTAGCAAAAGCTAAGAAGGCTAAAGGTAACAAAAAGCTAGGTAAAGGCTAAAAGTAGCAAAAGTCTAGGTAAATATTAAAGGTAGAAAAAAGCTAAGTAAAGGCTAACGGAAGCAATTAGCTAAGTAAAAGCTAAAAGTAACAAAAGGTTGAGTAAAGGCTAAAGGTAGCAAAAGGCTAAGTAAAGGCTAAAGGTAACAAAAAGCTAAGTAAAGGCTAAAGGTAGCAAAAGTATAGGTAATGACTAAAGGTAACGAAAGTCTAGGTAAATATTAAAGGTAGAAAAAAGCTAAGTAAAGACTAAAGGCAGCAAAATGCTAAGTAAAGGCTAAAGGTAGCAAAAGGTGCTAAAGGTAGCATAATTCTAGATAAAGGCTAAATATAGCAAAAGGCTAAGTAAAGGCTAAAGGTAGCAAAAGGTGCTAAATGTAGCAAAAGGCTAGATAAAGGCTAAATGTAGCAAAAGGTTACATAAAGGCTAAAGGTAGCAAAAGGTGCTAGAGGTAGCATAATTCTAGATAAAGGCTAAATGTAGCAAAAGGCTAAGTAATGGCTAAAGGTAGCAAAAAGTGCTAAAGGTAACAACAGCATAGGTAAAGACTAAAGGTAGCAAAAGGCTAAGTAAAGGCTAAAGGTAGCTGGGGAAGGATCTATTCGGATCAGACCCTCAGAAGGGCCCCGACTGTAACCCGGCTGTGGAACATTAATGCACAGAAGAACCGTATCAGTAGGTCAATACAACCAAATGTGAATGAAGAGCAGAGGTCACAGCAGCAAGACCTTGTGCAGACCACCGCAACCATTCATGCTATCTAACCTGTTCAGCTCATTCCGGAGACGGATGCTATGACTTTTATACTTCTTAAAACGTTTAACTGTGTTTACAAAGATTTTCCCCAATAGAAATGTATTGAGATCTGACATTCTTTTTTAATGAACCTTAATTTCTTAAGGCAAGCTGGAAAAATTAAGTAACGATACGCAGTTTCAGGCTGCATCTGACGAGTCCATGTTTGGTCATCAGAAAACCACCAAGGAACTAAATGCTGTCCGTCGAGGTTTCTATCCAACAATGGGCTGATCCAGACAGATTTCACACACTTACATGGGTGCCGTTTGTTTATGTTAGCATTTTTTAATGCTTCTTTTGTATGGATGTCAAGATCTCAAGATGCTGGTGAAGACTCTCAGTCTCAAGATCTCGAGTTTCTTCTGCTTATATATTGAGCCACTGATACTGTTCAAGGTTTAAAACAGAAAGAAGGACTGTAACTTGAAGCAGCACCTTCCCAGTGATGTACAATCACTGACTGACCACAACCTTGTTCTTTCCACCTCAGAGATCATTAAGACTTCCTCATCTTGCTGCGCTACAATCAACTTGTCACAGACAGGAAGTGCAGGAAACTTTTCTTCTTGAAATTGGTCCACCACCTTCCTTGCAGAGTGAAGGCCGTGCCGCTACAAATTTAGAACACTCATGTAGGCTAAAACACAGGAGGGAAAATAAAAATACCTGCACTTCATCGTAAATGGATCACGCATATGCTAATGTGAGGAGGCATAGACACTTGAGGGGGCGGAGGAATACAAGCAGGAGAAGATGTCGTTTCTGACATTTGTCATAGAGTCTCTAAGATTTCTGGCATCTAGGCAAAATTACGATGGGCAGATTCAAATCGTTTTGGCCACACATCTGATCTTTTACAACAGCCCTAACACCCCGGCCCCTGCTGCTCTCTGCCTGTCATCTGCAGGGATTCCCATCAGAGCACCACAAACTGTCAATGAAATGTAGAGAGCTGTAAAAGAGGCATCGCCCTCGCATCCTCTCATCACTCATCTTCCTGCAAGTGGGAGGCATTCAGGGACCTCTGTGAAAAAGAGGCACACGCCTACTTGACACAATTACAGGGTAACGTCACAGCAAAAACAAGACGCAGGAGAATACGGCGCGAAAAATGGAGAAAAAGGGGAAAATGGACTTAAAGAGAGAGGGAGGAGAAATGATCAGACACTGATGTTGACGGGAAAGTGCAGCAAACGTGTTTGTGTGTCTGCTGGAATTTATTCGAGTGTCAAAATGAAGTGAAGAAAGAAGAAGTGAGAGTGGTGAACACATAAAATGTACAGTAGATCTCATTCTCAAAAAGCACAGAATGGAAACTTATTGAGTCGCAAATTCATGACCGTTTGTCGTAAATAGTTTTTAATAGCTTTTTAAAAATATGTCGTTTTCTTCTAACACTCATTTCATTGCAGCAGTGTGACTAAAAATGAGAATTATTCAGCTGTAGTCCACTCTGCTCATCTGGAAGTACCGTACTTTTCGGACTATAAGGCACACTGAAAATCCTTTAATTTCTCAAAAATCAACCGTGAGCCTTATAATCCGGTGCACCTTATGTATTAATTCTGGTTGTGCTTCCTGACCTTGAACTGATTTTATGTGGCACACGGTGCTCAAAAATCTGTACAAATGAACTTGTTTTGCTTAATGCTTTTATAATCCGGTGCGCCTTATAGTCCGAAAAATACGGTATACGGTATACGATATAAAGCCATATAAAATAAACAGTCCATGCTCAATAATCCAGGTATAAAATCCAACATTTTTCAGTCAGGTCATCTGGACAGTTTCTTTTTTTTTTTTGTGCTGAAACGTTTCACCTTCCATCCATGAAGCCTTCCGGATGGAAGGTGAAACGTTTCCGCACACAAAAAAAAGAAACTGTCCAGATGACCTGACTGAAAAATGTTGGATTTTATACCTGGATTATTGAGCATGGAGTGGGTTTTGAACCAGTTTGACATGGATTCACTTTAAAAAGGCTGCCATTAATTATTGACGTCAACATTGTCTGTCTGTTAGCAAAATATCTCATGAGCCACAGGGCAAATGTTAATGAAACCCTCAGAAGAGAAGCAATGTGTGTACAACTAGAGATGATGAACTTTTGGAGCCAACCCAATTCAAGATGGCCTCCACAGTCAACTGATCACTGGAAACACAAAAATAGCTCTAGCTCAGTCACCTTTATAAATACTGAGCTAAAATTCGGCGCAGTAGTAGCTGAGAGCTATTCACAAGCTAGTCGCCGAGCACAAACATATTTCATAAGATCTCGCAATGTTGCATGAGATAAACGGCGATAACTTATCATAAGAGCAGAGTTTAAAACTGACATATGGTGGTGCACCTTCATACTTGATGTTTTAAGAGCGTGCATCGATCCTGTCAGAGATAAACCCTGCTGTCTCTGTGCTGCTGCAGGTTGGGAGTGGACAACAAGTCCCTGGAGCGTCTTCTCTCAGGATCAGGCTGTGAGGTCCACTGCTTCGATCCTAGCCTGAAGCAGCCTCACCTGCAGAAAGCCAACATGTGGTTCCATCGTCTCTCTGTGCACTGGAGGGATCCCAATCCGGCCGTCGCCGCCAAACACCAGTACGCAAACACCAAGAAGCTGGCCACCATCTTCAATGACTTTGGACACAGAGATGTAAGACACAGCTTTGGGCTTAAACCATGTTAGAGGTCTTTATCACCCGCTTCCATGAAAGGCTGGAGATAATCTGTTAGCAAAATATCTAACGAACCACTGGACGGATTTGAATTTAAACTCTCCAAACGCAACAGTTGAATGCGCGTCTACAACTGATTCACTTTTGAAGTCAACCTGATTCAAGTTAGCCACCCCAGCTAATCAAAGTTAGCAAACACAAAAATGGCTGCAACTCTGTCAACATTACAAACACCAAGTCCAAATCTGGTTTTGTAGTAGCTGAGCATCATCCCCACTACCCTGAGCGCAAACGGATTATAAGACTTTTAATCTAAGCTTAGCTATTTTTTTTGGCGTCGACCCTATCTGTTAGCAAAATATCTTATAACCCACTGAACAGATTTTCACGAAACTCTCGGAAATTATTCATTGCTTGTACGTCAACAACTTATAACCTTTGAGTTTTAATTCAAGATGGCCTCCACTGATAATCAAACTTAGCAAATGCAAAAATAATTAAAACTCTCTGATCATTCCAAATATTGACCCAAACTTTGGTGAAAACAGCTGCGATTCATCCCCAAAACATATTCTGAGCACAAAATAATCGGACCAGACCTTCACTGGAAACTATTCCATTAACCACTGGCTCTGCCTGTTAGCAAAATATCTCATGAACCAGAGGAAGGATTTTAATGAATGTCTCAGAAAGCAATCACTGGATGTCCATCTTCAATTGATGACCTTTGGGAGTCAATTTAATTCAAGACAACCAACAGGTCTAATTGATCTCAGCTTGAATAACTTTGCAGCTTTAGATGTAAAACCTTGTTGCACCACCGGGCAGAACCTGATAATGTTGTGTCATTGGCTGAACAGCTAAATCAATTATCTTACATCAGATTTGTGTCCTCTAAATGAGATGTGACTTACTGCAAGGGGCTTTTATCTGGCGCCTCTGCCAGTCACTGTGGCTCCATACAGAAGAGATTTATTTTAAAAAAGAAGTTGACCTTTTGGAGTAACTCGGCTTTCTGCATGAGTGGCTGAGCAGAAGCTTTTGAGAAGCGGAAACAATTCTTCTGCATCCTCGTCGCTCCTCCGACAGACTGAGCACTCCCATTAAAACCTCGTTATGCGGACGCATGCACGGTTCTGCATTTAAAACAGCCGTGTACCGACGCCTCTGTGCACAAACACGCGCAGGCTGCACAACGTTAAGCTTTGTTTACATCTCGTCACAACCTGAAACATCTTTTCAAACACCCTGTACACGCCAAAGTCTGTCAAAAATTAATTACGTTTTGAAAGAAAATGGGCAAAGGCAGAGGATGTGTGTGTGTGTGTGTGTGTGTGTGTAGCGCTCGGCATTCATTCAAGTCTTGTTTGAATTATAATCTTTCAGCTTTCAGCCTTTAAAGAAACGGGGAAAAGTTGTACTCTCGATTGGTCATGGAGTATATAATTTTGCTGTCCTAAACGTAACGATTCAAATAAAAATATACATAAAATTGTACCCTCAAGGACCCTAGTGAGGGTAAAGAGCTGGTCCAGTGTTCCACGGCCAGGACGGAACCCGCATAGTTCCTCTTGGATCTGAGGTTCGACCAACGATCGGACTCGCTTCTCCAGTACCCCTGAATGGTCATCTGGAGAGTTTGGTTTTTTTTGTGCTAAAACGTTTCACCTTCCATCCAGAAGGCTTCATCAGTCAAGGAAACAACACAAAACTGATTCTTCCCCCAAACAGCTTACTCCAAAGTGGAACAAACCAGTTATGTTGGTGCTAAGATGGTCTCTTTGGCACGCCCCCTCCTCTGGTGCCGGCCCTCTTCCTCGTCGACAGTCATGTCAAACTGGTTCAAAACCAACAAAGTCCATGCTCAATAATCCAGGTATACAATCCAACAATTTTCAGTCAGGTCATCTGGACAGTTTCTTTTATTCCCTCTGGACGCCTTTTTGAAGATGGGAACCACCACCCCAGTCTGCCAATCCAGTGGCACTGTGGAAGCGGCTGGGATGAGAATCAGCACCTCCAAATCTGAGGCCATGGTCCTCAACCGGACAATGGTGGATTGCTCTCTTCGGGTAAAGGGTGAGGTTCTGCCTCAAGTATCTTGGGGTTTTCTTCACGAGTGAGGGAAGAATGGAGCATGAGATTGACAAACGGATTGGTGCTGCTCCTCCACATCGAGAGGAGCCAGTTGAGGTGGTTTGAGTATCTGGTAAGGATGCTCCCTGGGTGCCTCCCTGGGGAGGTGCTTCAAGCATGTCCAACTGGGAGGAGACACCGGGGAAGACCTAGGACACGCTGGAGACTAGGTTTCTTGGTTAGACTGGGAACGCCTTGGAGTCCTCCCAGAAGAACTGGAAGAGGTGGTTGTGGAAAGAGATGTCTGGGCCTCCCTGCTTAAGCTGCTGTCCCCATGACCTGACTTATGAACAAATGGAAGAGGATGGATGGATGGATGGCTGGATGGATGGCTGGATGAATGGATGGATGGATAAAATTGTACACCAAATGAAGAGTCAAGCGGGCTCTTCCGCACCATTCTGAATGCAATTTTTGCCCATTCTTTTTTTCCGTTTTCAAATGAATCCTCAAGTTCAACATTTGGCTTTTACTGATCTGAGAACAGTAGAGTTCTGAGAAGGCTATTCAAATTTAGTTGCAAGTGGGCCATATATAAAAATGATTAGGGGGTTTGAGCGCCACAGGTAATATTTTTTTTTACCTGCTGCCAAAAGGCAAAAACAGACGGTCACGGTTCTGTAATTGTGTGCGACTAAAAGCATTTCAAGAACCACTGGTTGACTTTGAATGAAACTTTTAGAAAGTTATCACTGGATGTACATTGATGTGCGCAGTATGTACAGTAAAAACCAGAGTACTAGAACATAGTTTATTCACTAAACATGCTAAATACCTGAGCAGGCGCTTGAAGGAACACGTAGCATGTTTTCATGGTAAATTACAAACTCCTGATTAGCTACACACCTGCTTGCAACTCTAAATTAACCTGCACATACATAGAAAAGCCAGTTAGTAAAGGGAGCCAGCAGACTTGTTGAATCTTTATGTCCTTAAACAAAAAGCTTTTAGATATTTAGATTAACCCTAACTTGAAAACAACTGTATTTTCCAGCTTATAAATAGCTCCGGAGTAGAAGTCTCATCAGTCAAAAAAACCTAACTGGCTTTTCGATGCGTGTGAATGTTTCTGTAAAGTGTCCTGAGACAACTTTGCTGTGAATTGGCGCTGTATAAAATAAACTGAACTGAATCTGCATCTTTCTAGACTTCTTCAGTCGTAACAAAAATGAGTTGGTTACGTTTGTGGTTTTTATTCTGATACGTTAAATTACCCAGAATTTTAATCTGGAATTCAATTTTTGTAGAAACGTTTAGCCAAAAGTTAAAAAGTGATCAGAAGTGACTTAATTTTTTATTCCTTTAGCTGCACCTTAATCTTTAGTAAAAGCTGAATGGTTTTGTCTCTGATCTTACTGAAGCCATACTTCCCATCACAAGGCCAAAAAATTGAGAGGGGGGAAAGAAAAAAAAGTGATGCTTTGTAGATTTTAAGAGATAAACTGCCAGATTCACTGTGTTTAATAACGTGTGAGCTATCTGTAGGAGTGGAGTGTGTAAAACCGTATGCAGGTTATGTAACGGCCCTGTGGAGACCGCTGGAGAGCGTTCAGTGGGATGTTTATCGGAGGAACACGAGATAATGAGATTTTCAATCAGACCTTGAAACAGACGAGAGGATTGAATCGTGACGAGCTGATCTATGTTGGCACGCTCAGGCATTGACCCGTTTGCACCTGCTAACACAACCGGGAAATGATACTAACCTTCCTTAAAGAAATGCACATCACCCTCCGCCTCACAAACCAGTTTTAAACAAATAAACCTTTAAACAAATACCCATACAGTATGGTTTACAGCTTCACAGAAAAGTAAATCAAAATCCTATTACTAGTGAAAATGTGCATTTTATTATAAAAACATTTATTTCAGGATAATTAATATCCTTTTAATGATCAAATTCAAGTGTCATACTTGTTTAGCTGCAGCTTGCACACAATTTCATGCAAAAGTCCATCTCTGCATTAAACTAGAAAATATTGCCTGCTCTGAAAATGCTGAGGGACTTTGCTCAAATTTGCTGAAAAAGGTGGAAGTGAAATTCATAACAGCTGAACTTTCAGTGTTAATTGGAATAATAATTTAAAAAAACTAAAAAAAAAACGTGAAACAGAAGGACAGACAAAGTAGAACGATGGAAAAAGCGCAAGGAAACAAAAACGGACGTAAAAGTGCATTGGAACACTAAAAGGACACAGAGACATAAAAAGACTAGAAGGCTGCATAAGAAAATGAATTCATATAGAGAAAAATTAAGCATAAGGAGAGTAAAAAGAAACCAATGTATGAGGTAAAAAGACCAAAAGCACACAGATATATAACGTTTTTATAGGATTCAGAAGGAACCATAAAAAGACATGGAGACATATAAAGAGAAAAAGAAAAGGCAAGGAGACAAACGTAAGCAAAAAAGATGCATACGGATAGCAAAAGGATCCATACGGAGACATAAGAGGTGAGAATGAAAGATTTTTTAGGGATGAACGATATTGGAATGGACAGTGCTTTTTATATCAGTGAGTTATTTTGATGGAATGGCCAATATTTAACTTTATCTCTAATATTGGACGATACCAATATGCTGATAATATCGTGCATCACTCATTTTTTTTAATACAAAAAGGAAAACTGAGAATGCTTAAAAACCAAAAACATACATAAAAAACATGCATAAGTAGAGACAACAGAAGAATTAATAAACAGTAAAAGTTCACACCATAAACTTAACTGATCCAGGATCGTCTGAAACGTTTCTTTAGGACAACATTCCCTAACATTTCTTTGAGGTAAATCTGTGAATCTGAAAAGTTAATTTTACACGATTTAAGAAAATGAAACTGTTAAACCCTCGGGACACAAGTTATTCATACCTTTAAAATTCATAAACAACCAAAATGTAAAGTTTTACCGGTCTAGATGAAACCCAAGGTCCTGGAGACACGCATTCAGCTCTGAACGTGCACAACTCTATTTACATAACCGTGACCTCGGGGTGTTATTAACATTCATAATATGAAGCAGTTCCTCCCTCTTCTATTACAACAGGCCTTGACAGGCTGTGATTCCACTCAATCCATCATCCACACTGCTGAACTCAGGCCAGGCTCCAGTTCCTCCTCCATGTCTTTTATTAGCTTTTGCATTCAGCATCTCCATGCTGATCAAATTAGCTAAATATCTTAAACCATTTGACTTTACTAAAATCTTCAGAAAACAATCACTGGATGTTCAACTGATTGACTTTTGTAGTTAATCAAATTCAAGATGGCCACCACAGCTAATTAACCTTAGCCAAGACAAAAATGTCCACAACTCAGTCAGCTTTATAGAGCTTAAGCTAAAATTGGATGTGGTTGTAGCCGAGTGATTAACAACAAATTCTGAGATCTTGTTGGCTCCATCAAATTCAGAATTGAATTCATAATCTTCCTTCTAACCTACAAAGCCCTCAACAACCTAGCTCCATCTTATATTACAGATCTTATTGTTCCATATTTTCCCAACAGTGCACTTCACTCTCAGACTGCAGGTTTACTTGTGGTTCCTAGAGTTTCCAAAAGCAGAATGGGAGGAAGATCTTTCAGTTATCAGGCTCCTCTCTTGTGGAACCAACTTCCAGTTTCTGTCCGTGAGTCGGACACATTGTCCAGTTTTAGGACTTTTCTTTGTGATAAATCCTATAGTTAGGGTTGGCTTGTTATTATGCTATAGGCTTAGACTACTGGAGGACAAATTGACCTAATTTCTTAAAATGAATTGTTAAAATTGAATAGTTTTCATTTGATACTATTTCTATCTTAACGTGATTATTGACCTGCCATTGTGTATCTGTTCCTACCAAACCCAGCCAGATGAAGCAGACGATCACTTGTCCTGAGCCTGGTTCTGCTAAAGGTTTCTTCCTCATGAGGGAGTTTTTCCTTTCCACTGTCGCCTTCATGCTTGCTCAAAATGAGTCTTCGATGGAGTTAATCTCAAAGCAGTCTGCTGCTCGGATAAATAATGTTAAATTATTTTTACATATGAATGTTTCTGTTTAGTGCCCTGAGATGACTTCTGTTCTGACTTGGTGCTATATCAATAAACTGAATTGAATCTTATAAAAAAAAAAGTTTTTTTTTCCAAAGTTTTAACCAAAATGGCTCCAAGGTGGTGGGCAATATGTCCTACGAGGCATTTTAGGACTTTAACTGAAAAGGTGTTTCTTTCCTGTTCCAGGTGGATGTCCTAAAAGTCGACATGGAGAGCGCAGAGTGGAAGATTTTAGAGAACTTGGTTCTGGAAGGGGTCCTGGACTCAGTGGGTCAGCTGCTGCTGGAGCTTCACCTGCACTGGGCGGGCTTCGAGGTCGGCGGCGACGACCCGTCTGTGGTGCGATACTGGTTCAGCCTGCTTAAGGAACTGGAGCGCGCCAACTTCTACCTGTTCCGCATTCACAGCGACCCGGCCAAACCTCGCCGCTTTCTACACAAGAACCTCCTGAATGCGAGCAGCGCGTACACGCTGAGCTACGTGAACACGCAGTGGAGGCCATCGAGGACACCAGATGTTCGCAGAAAATAAACGTTAATATGAAGTTATTTTTATTTTAAAAAATGTGAGGCGTTTCAACACAAACCTGCTTTTGCAAATGAAGCTATCCTCACAGAACACTACCCAGCCTGACCTTTCCCACAAAGCTCTCTGCTCCGACTTCTGCTGTTCATCATCTGCTGACCTGTAATGGCTGCAGCCGTGCAGAGGGGCAGAGTAATTGCCTCCAGAGGCTGCGCTTCTGCTTTTAGTAGCTGTCCTGTTGGCTGCACGTCAGCTTGATTCGGTCTCCATCATCAAGACGCTCTCTGAGCCTGGCCCGCAGCCAGCCAGTCCCAGCTGATATTAAACAGCCAAGGCACAGACTCAGCTTTAAACAGCGTCTTACCTGCAGAGGACAGCAGTCAGGACGTTCTCGTTTCAAAGAAGCAGAAACAAGTGCTGCTCAGAATGGGAGGCCACAGCAATTTTATTTATCTTAAATGTTTTTTTTGTAATTTAGTATATATATATAAAAAAAATCATTTTAATTTAGCACAAAAGAGGCTTCCTGTTTTTGTATTTGTGCAGAAAAAGCATTTACATTTTGAGCACTAATGGCAGGGTAAAAAAAATACACTTCTGCAATAAGACTGGATACCAGCCCGATGGCTTTCACTCCAACAGTTTCAGGGAGTCTGCAGGTCAGACGTAGGAAGCCACAGTCCAGAGTAGATCTTAGTCCCAGAGTTTAATCTGTCCATCCCATCCACATGTGATCACCTTGGATGTTTCGTGCGGATGCCACAGGGCGCTGATGCACACCTTATCGTGAGCCTTGATCCTGTGGTAGAGCTTGGTGGTCTTCCAGTCCCAGATGTTGAGCTTTCCATCTGCATCCCCTGACACTACGTAGCTGGTAGGAAAAAAAAAAAAAAAGGATGAAAGGATGAGAACTTTAATTTAAAAACGTCTCTCCTACACATGCCAAAATGTTGGAGCAAGAATTCATCCTTTCAGTCCAGTCAGAGGAATGTTTCCATGGATACGGAGAGAAAATGAGGGCACCTGCTAACTCACATGGGAAATAGTGGGTGAGAAAAATGGCAAATAAAAATACATGCTCAAACGAGTGTACCGTATAGTAAAATGAGGCAGCTGGACTGCTGTAGTTTGAGTTTCTTGCAAAGATGATTAATCTCTTTTATTTTTTTATTTTTACTTCACAGCTTTTTAAAGTGACATAAAAAAAAGGAATAAAACACAACAAAGTGAGCAGAGGTAGCTGAAAGTTCAGAGCATTTATAATCAGTTTACACCAGTTTTTCAATTAATACAATAAAGTATGTCTCACAGTTTGTGTTTTATGTCAGCTTTACTACTTTTGTATTGCATCTATGTCATTTAATCTTTAAAGATAAATAACTTATTTACTAAAAAAAAGTTGTCACGACTTGCTTCACTTTCACAGGTGTGTTTTTATTCTTACACGTTACCTAGAATTTGTTCAACATCTGTTTTAATTCATTTTTGTGTAAATGTGAATAAAGAACCAACACTATTGTTTTTCTGTTTGTTTTTACGAGTGTTATTTGAAAACGAACTACTCTTGTCCTTTTATATATCAAATAATTCATCTCATTCAGGAGATGGATGCTGTGACTTTTACTTTTTGTCATTTTTATACTTTTCCAAATATAAATTACATAATTTATATTTTATTATTATTTTTACATTAAATTATATAAATGTTCATTGGCTTCATGTCAAGTCCAGAATTGAATTCAAAATCTTACTTCTAATCTACAAAGCCCTCAACAACCTAGCTCCATCTTATATTACATATCTTATTGTTCCATATTTTCCCAACAGAGCACTTCTTCCTCATGAGGGAGTTTTTCCTTTCCACTGTCGCCTTCATGCTCGCTCAAGATGAGAGTCTGCGATTGTGAGTTTTCCTCAGATAAATAATGTTATTAACTTACTTTTTTATATACATGGATGTTTCTGTTCTGTGCCCTGAGATGACTTCTGTTGTGACTTGGCGCTATATAAATAAACTGAAATGAATTTAAATATATAATATATATGTAAATTATATATATATAATATTGAGATATGTTCAATCTCCTCAGAAGCATTTTTCTTGAAATCTACTCCAACCATTGCTACCATTCTGCTCCTTTTAACTTCTTTTGCTTTTAGCAAGCCTTTTGCTAGATTTAGCTAGTGTCCAGCTTCCTTTAGCTTAAATAACTTAGTTTCAGCTTTATCAGCAAAGTCTTTTAACATTAAAGCATTCCCAGTATTTTCACAGAAAATACAATTTCTTTAGTTAAATTGAAGAATTTCTCTTTCTGACTTTTCCAAAGGTATCACCGTCTGCTACCAAAATAAACACAGAGAGAACATAAATGTTTACCTCATGTCTGGAGAGAAGTCCACCTGGCAGGCATAGCCGGCCACCATGTGGCCCTTGAAGACTTTCTTTTTGTTCAGTCTGAAGCGGTTCTGGGCTCCAAAGATAAGAATCTGGTTATCCATAGACTGACATGCCAGCCATTTACCTGGGAGTGAAAACCAGGAAAAGTGATGTAAACAAAAGCTGGAACTTGTGATACTGAAGAATCCATTAGAAGCTGCGGTAACATGGCTAAACAAAGAGAAAAATAATATTTAACATTAAGGTATTCAGATTATAAATGAAACACAACGTTGAGTTAAGAGAAGAAACAGGACTAAGAATTTATAGCCAAATAAATAAGGCTGAAAATTGTTTATCGGCTCACTAGCTAGTTTCATTTACAGAACTCTGTACAGCTAAATGTAAGACAAGCAGCTCATTGGATGGCAGATTGGGGTAATTTGACGCCGTTTTCTACCATTGGGTTGTAAAATTAGAGGAAATTTAGTAGTATTAGAGTTTTGAGATAAATAGCTGAAACGTGAGTTAAGAACAAGAAGAAAAAAAAACTTCAACTCTGAATCTGAGTGGCTCCGAAAAGGGCATGAACTCATCATTCTGCTGTTAATAAATTGGAGAGATTGAAGCAATTTAGGAGAAAAAAAAAAATGAGAAGGGTCTTTTCATCAGTGGGTGCTTAATTAAGATCTATTTTACAGCGTTTCAGTTCTTGACAAGGCGACAGTCTCAAGTCACTATGTGGCTATAAGACGCAGCAAGTGTTACACAACTCACTGCACTTCTTAACACCAACATCATTAACGTGATACAAAAGAGAAAGAAGCCATGTGTGCGTGTCTTCTTAAAAACATCGGCGGAAAAGACACTCCTGCCCAGGAGTGTCAAACCTAATAGGTTCAGGAGATTGAAAAATAGCTTGAACTATTTGACCAGAGCAGTAGCGACATGTTTTTTCAGTGAAATGGAAAAAAAAGATGGAGGAAATAGGAGAGAGGTGGAGGACGTGGCGCCAGTGGGGGTGGGCTGGGTTCCATTTAAGCGTGAGGGAAAACTGAATGGCCTCCCACTGAGAACACATTCATTATTCACAGGCTGAGGAAAAACAAATCATGTTGGGATGGATAAGAACGATGCTCAGAGGAGGGAGGGGAGTACAGAGAGAAGATGAGGAGGTTAAGTTCAACTGCAGACAAAAACTCAGGACGTGCGTAATAAAAAAAAAGACTGAAGTGGAAGAGTTCTTAATTCTAGTAATGTTTAGCTCACAAAACTTTTCCACACATCATGAATGCCCTCTTCACACCCTGATCTGTCTATAATCAGCCTCTGACAGTACCTAAAGGCAGCACAATCACTGCACAGCACTGCATAAATCAGAGTGGTAATTCCAACACGTCTCCGCTGAACGGTTTTGCCTTGAAGGAACAGATTGACGTCTGAGAAAAGGCACAGAGTCATTTCCTTGCCAGGTTTTAATGAGAACGTCAAATCCGTGTTCGCATCTGTATGTTAATTAAGCAGGAAACCGTTTGCTGACGTTGGCAAAAATAAAAACGGCAGACCTGAATCAGTCCCAGCACCACCAACCTTTCAAATTCTAGAAGTCTCGCTGGAGTGTTTTAGAAATTCATGTCTTGCTTGTTGTTTGGGTTTTTTTTGCACGCTCAGCAAAGAAAATGACTTTTTTGTTTGTTTTAATCTTTTCCATCTCTAGCAGACTAGATTACAGTAATTTATACTCATGCAGGTACAGAACTGTGTTACACTGAGTGGTGCGTTAAAAACCGTCTTCTTTTACTCACCTGTACTGTTTAAAAGCAAATCATAGAAACTGCTGTCTGAGTGAAGCTTGCTGCGTGATGAGCTCTTCAAATGTTGTGCATGCTCTGCTCACACAGTAGAAAGTCACCAAGCGTATCTCGCTTTGACTCTGTGTAGGAGCTGCAGCTTGACTTTAGTCAAACTAAACGTTTGTGTAAAATTGTAGCTGAATAAAAAAAAATAATAATAATAATTATCTTTTTTTATCTGCAGCTTCACACTTCTATTAAATGTTATATTCCTCCTCTAGTTTGTGGTGTGAACGAAAAAAGCCAATGTGTGAACCCTGCAGTCTTTTTTTGAAACAAAATTATTCTTGCAAAAAGTTTCGAGAGCATTAGGATAACTTAAAACGGCTTTCTAAATCATAAAAGTTAAAAACCGATTAAGTAGTAAAAGCGGGAGTATCATCTCAGAGATTCATTGTTAGCTCAGAGGAAGAAAGATTTAAAAAAAGACAGGTAGGATTCAATTAAAAAATGTGTCCAAATTGTTAATTCGCCTGATAATGATCTAATGAAAGATTGTTTAAAACCCCCAGAAGACCTGCAGCCATACAACAATAAAGCTATAACATAGACTATAAGTTCAAGTCTTTTTTTTTTTCCTTTTTCTTTTCTGCTTCTCACAGCTGTGAGGGATGCGAAAGCTATAAAAGTGTAGTCATTCATCAGAACAATGATCCAAAGCATACAATCTCACAGAAGAAAAATCTATATTGCAGGCGTAAACAGACGTTTTTCAGAGACTAAAGCTAATCTTACAGCTGCAATATGAAGCATACAAATTTCGAGGGAAACATATTCCAACAAAAATATGAACTGCATAACATTAGATTGTTTTTTGCCCGTGTACCTTCTTTACATTTCAAGTGGTTTAAAGTCTTTGAATGCACTCCTCTACTGTTAAAATATTGAGAAACTGCACATTCGAAGCAAATATAGGACAGAAAATCAGTCCAGGTTTAAACTGTAGAGATCTACGATTAACTGGATCATTTTGTAGGGATGCACAATATTATCGACATGGTATTGGCCAATATTAGCGTTAGAATGAAATATCGGACATATGATATTCATCAAAATAACTCATCGATATATGTGATTTATCGGTCTAAATAAAGGTTGATTGAATTGAATAGAATAAAAGGTGCTGTGTTTATATATATATATATATATATATATATATATATATATATTAGGGGTTGAATCGACTAGTCGATTCTAGGAATCTCACAAGTTTTTTTATTTCACGTCGACTAGTCGTAGTCAGTGATTGTGTCGCCAGGCGCTGGCTAGACATGTCATTCTAAGCCGGGCCCACGCCCGTGCCGGCCCGGCTAAATTAATGTGCTGGATGGGCGGGCCGGGCTTTTGATTGCGTCAGCAGACGTGCACGGCCGACGATCCAATTCGGATTGTCAGCCGCGTGCGGCCGATTGACTGCGTGTTGACCGGCCGGTTGAAAAAAGTAAAAAAAAAAAAAAGTGCAGATGGCTCACTGCCAGCGACCCACCTGAAGCTCAACTGGACTCAGCCGCTGCGTTTTTTTGGTTTTTAGTAGCCTCTGTTTTTAGTTTTATTTGATTTAATCCACTGTGGTAGAATCCACCACCACCCATCCCCCGTTTTTAGTTTTGTTTTTTTACGTGACGCACGTTTCTTTCACTTTAGCAGCTTAATAATAGTTTTGGTTTTCCTGAGACTTATTTACAGTATGATAAATGGTAGGAGCATAACTATACGCTCAAAATGTTTTGTTCTTGTTTTTTTTATTGTAAATAATAAATGACTTTTTTTGTGAATATGATATAGCGTCTTGAGTTCCTATGACGTCATCGCGTCTAGTCGACGTCGACTCGTATCATGTTGAAGTAGACTTTAAAAAATATGAAGTCATGCAACCCCTAATATATATAAAAATGCTGAAATGTAGCGCATGTTATTTGGCATTTTTTGCCTGTTTGAACTTCCCATGCTGTTACACAATTTTTTCTAGCAAATAAGCCTAAATAAGAGCGCTATGTTCTGACAAAGGAAAGAAGCTGACAATATTTTTTGCACTTTTGATTTTATTTGTACAAAGCTGGCTTTATAGAGATTTGAGTTGATCGTTAAACTTGTACAACCACGTATTGAGCTTCTGCTTTAAGTTCATTTTTAATTTAAGAAACTGTCAAGTAATGCACTACTACTTATGCGCTTTGCACTTGTCGCTTGTGAACAGGTTGAGTTTAGATTTGTGAAAATGTGCAAATTTGCACTGTTCGAGTGTTGTCATTGTGTTAAAAGTAAATGTCATGAATAAATTTGACACTAAACATAATCCAAGTTGAAATGTTACATCGTTTTCAGTCCCTTTTTGGCATCTGCATTTGGTAGCAGTCCAAATTGACAAAGACCATGCAGAATAATGTAGTATTTTAATTCCACAGCAGAGAAAGCTGTGTAGTCTCTGTAAGTAGGTCTAGGAACATAAATATATCGGGATTGGTATTGGATCTTGGCCAAATAAGTTTGAACATATTGGGATATCGGCCAAAAATCCAATATCGTGCATCCTACTATTTTGCAAAAGAATCACATCAACCTTTATGCAAAGACGCAACCAAGGCATAAAAAACATTTAAAGAATAGATACGGAGGTCAAATACAGAATGTAGAAAGTTGGGTTAAGGTGAGAAAGGGCCCTGTGCCCTAAGACTTAGTGGTGCAGCAGGTATCTTAAACAAGGTAAAAACGATATTTACTCTCCTGGTAATAAAAGGCCTGATGACTGTGTATCTCTACATCTGTGAACAGAATTGGCTGATTTTATTCCTATTAGAAATTATCAATATTGAACAGTACAAGTCTACTTCAATGTGTTAATGTAGGTTTATACTGTCCAGGGTCAACTGCACTGTGTTTTGTGGTTATTTTCACTCACCATTGGGAGATAGTGTCACAGCTGGCATCGAGTGCATACTGGGCTCAGCGATGTACTTGAAGTCCACTGGGATGTCCCTGAACAAGGCACAAAGCATTGTTAGTATATGAAGGGGGGGTTAAACACCTGATGGAAAACCCTGTGACACCCTCAAAGGGAAACATTTTCAAACACGTTATTTAATTATTTCACCTTTACAGCCGTTTGCACCAGCTCAAACCACTTCCCTATTATAGTTAAAATATGCAAATAACTCCAAGAAACCCGAAAGATGCTTTTGATGTTGAACCGTGACTATTACCAATTATGTAAGAATTCTCTCTTTGCTCTTTCACACAGTCGCCAGCCCTATCAGGCTCTGCTGTTTCTTCATCTAAACTAAGATAGGCATTTGAGGTATTTGATTTTAATGGGTCTGAACGAGACATTAAGGCAAGTTCCGTTTATATCCATCAAATTCTTTAACTCGTCTTGAGGGACGCACTGCAAAATAAAGCAAATGTTAGAAATGAGTCCTTCTGCTTCCTTCTGTAAGTTTACATCCAGTACGTGTTAGGAGTTAAAATCCTGAATGTGTCTCGCCATCTGCCAACATTCATTTAGCCACAGAGAAAGTCATAGTTGTTTCTTTCTGTGGTAAATAACAGCTGGAGCTGACTGCACAGTTTATACACATACGCATGGCAAAAAAAAAATCAGAAAACTAATAAGGAAACAAGAAAAGCAATGAGGGAAAAAAGGACTCAAACTTAAAGATAGCAATGCAAAACAAAGAGCAATTTTAAATTAGCTTTAATTTGCAAGGCAGACGACCTGCAGTGAGACTAATAACTGCAACCAGTAGGAGAAAGCAAACGCACGTGTGCACGCACACAAAACAGTAGATGCTCATGGAACTTCCAAACACATAATTAGGACACCTGCAGGGTAAATTAACTTTTCCTCAAAAATGACCTCTACAGTTCATTCACTGTAGAGTAAATCTCATAAAGCAAATATTTATTTGTTGTCTAATTATGTTAGGGAAGGCAGGAGGCTTTTTAAAAGGAAGTGATTTGCAAAAAAATGGTCATAAACCGGAATAAAGTGTAGACATCAATCAAGTCAAATTTGGGCTGAAACGAACTAAAACAAACTCTTTTCGGATGTAGAAGTTTATGACAAGCCTGCAATCTCATTAAACTATTTAACTTGTCCATATCGTCCTAAATAACTTTACAAGCAAACTTCATCACTCTCTGAATGTTTTTTTAATGATCACTAGCCAACTCCTTTTGCTGGCATTTTCTGGTTTATTTTTTATTGATTAGATTTGTTTTCCAGGGAGCACAAGCTTTCTGCTCCCCTATAACAAATCCCTGCAGCAGATCTTCTCCTAAAGCAAGATTCTGAATTACATATAAACAGGTATGCTCTTGAACCATGCCTACCCTGCTCCTTCCTGCCAGCATCTACTTATTCTGACAATATGAATAAGCTTATGGCAGTCCATCTCTCTCTCCTTCAGGTCCTGCTCCTTTCAGAGGGAGCAGGGTCAGCCACACGGATTCTTCTTCCCCATTTTGCTGTTTCGTGTATCGTGTTGTGACATGGTGTCTTCATATCCTGTTGGATCACATCCATCCACCTTCGTCTGCCGTCACCAGCTTCACTGACCCAAAACTTCTCCGTTTAATAGCCTTTTTACCTTGTTGTCATCTTCCATTCGCTGCACATGCCCATACCATCTCATTCTTGATTCCTGTGTATCTTATCCATGACGCATGCTGCACCAAGCGTTTTTCTGACATGGTCATTTCGCCGTCTATCCTTGAGGGATATTCCAAGAATCCCACGTAGCATCCGCATTTCTGTTCTTTCCAGGAGTTCCTCTTCCTTTCTGTTTAATGTCCATACCTCAGCTCCACAAAGCAAGACTGGGCGCACCATCATCTTGTACACTTTCCCTTCAATATGAATCGGCATCCTTTAGTCACAAAGCACTCATGTCAGCTCTTTCCATTTCTGCCACGTCGCACCAATTCTGTGTTTAAAGTCGTCTTCACAGCTTCCTTTGGCATTTATCGCCGACTCCAGATATTTGGAATGTTTCAACCTGCTTCAGTACATTTCCTCTATTATCAGTAATTCTTAAGGTCTCGTTAGCGTTTGAGCAGACCATGGTCTCTGTTTTTGCTACGTTTATTTAGCAGTCTGTCCCGACAAATAATGAGTTTACTCAAGACTGCAACTTGTCCTCCAACTCTGACCCAAAAAAAGTGTTTATTTTTCTTTGAAAGACATTTGCTAGACATTTTTAAATGGATTGTTGATGTTGATTGATTGATGGGGCATTTTGTTGACTAGCTCGCAGCATTTCTCTTAGCATTATGGTGCTCTGTAACAGAGATGGACCTGTTGATTAGTGAAGCAGTACTAGGCCTGTCGCAATAAATAATAAATTAATCGCATGATAAATGAAAATTATCGACCTCATTTTCATTTATTGGCTTTATTGTTTCTTCGTGTCTCTCTCTTTCTACTGAAGACACTGGATGACAAAAGGCTCAACTCCGGTGCTTTTCACTGACCCCTTCCTTTCTCTTTTCTATATAAATTCTATTTTAACCACCCAAAATTGCGTTTTGGATCATTTAAAGCAGCTAAGCTTAGAAGATAAGCTACAAGCTAAGCTAACAGTCCGACTTCAGGGGAAAAAAACCTCCGTCTTGTCAAAGCTCCAAAATTCAGGGTTGAAACCTGTGCCTTCGTGCAAAAAGTTGCTTTTCTCTGCAAAAAGAAGCTGAGAACTTGTTTATTGATTTTTTTTATTAAAAGATCTGTGTGAAAAATTCTATGCTAAAGAGCTCAAACCACACTGAGCGTCCGCCGTTTTGAGAACTGAAAAAAGAGAGAGACAGCCCATGTCACGTCAAGGGGCCTCCCTCCCATTTTTTTAAAGAGACACGCTGCTCGCTCCCTCACTATCCATCCTTCGGTTCAAACAGTCTTATACTGCCATCCGGTGACAAACAAAGGTACTACACTCAAAACAAACTAACATTTCCTCTTAAATTTGACAATAATTACTAATTATTGTCAAATTTCAAACAATGTTATCGTTTATCTCAATAATTTCTGAGACAATTAATCGCCCAGCAAAATTTGTTATCGTGACAGGCCTAAGCAGCACCGCTGGGTCCCGTCTACCCTGCCAAACCTCACACACACCTCACATGTGCACACATAGATGAAACTGATAGCAGCTGCAAATGCAAACTGTTGTACTTAAAAGTAAACAAACTCAAAATCTTTGTGCTGATCCCCCCCTCCCCCATTTCCCCATCTGATAAACCCTCCCCCCAGACCAGAAACTTAGGATAAACTCTGGCTTGTCTTTAAATATTAATCATCTTAGATAAAATAACACCGCTCGTTCATCACCACAGGACCAATAAATGTGCCACTTGTGATGGTCTCTCTCGGTTTCTTTGATGCAAATAAAAACCGCAGGAGGGCATACAACAATTAAGAGCCCAAAAATCAAGCACAGTCTAGCTAGAACTGCAACAGTGCAAGCTTAGGTTTTGTTTCAGCATATTTCCATAAAGTTTAAGGCCAATGTATAATTAATTGACCAGGTTTTCTAGCAGGGAGTGCATTGTTTCAAACATGACATGAATAGTTAGTAAAACCTGAGTATCAATAATATCTGTTGGCTGAATTTATTTATATAAATTACTAAAGCACAACATTTATGCAGGTGTAGTCAGGTCAGCAGATTTGTATTGGTCACACATTGGACTTTGTGTTCCTTCCTTTAAATGGACTCATAAAGTGACAATCTGTGCCTTTTTTAAAGCAGAGTTTTTCAGCTGCTGTTTTCAAATCTATACTTGGTCAGAAATTCTGGACTGTCATATCACATAAGGATCTTATTGATATTTTCTTGTAGACAAACAAATTGAAAGCTGAAGCGCAGAGAGGAAAAAGACGAGACAAACAGCAGGCTGTGTAACAGACAAACACGAGAAGAGGATGAGTTATGCAGCTTGAATGGTTTCCACCGGGGTTCATCATGATGAGAAAAGCTCACGTTAACTTTCTAGTCCCACATATTTTCAAACACCATTATTACTTTGATATTTGGTTTGATGAGCTTTAATGATGCCTATTAAATGAGAAAGAGGAAATAGAATAAATAATGAAGGTCTGAGCCTCCGTGAAGATTAGAACAAGTTTTACGCAGGTAACAACTAAAGATTTGTTGCCATGAATCTTTATGTCTGTGTGTTTAGTCACTAGAGATCGTAATGTGACAAGCTATGGAGGAGCTGAAGGAGGCAAAGACAGCATTGTTGGTTTATCCTTCTGCAAATCAGTAATCAAACACTATATTCTGATACAGAGCATCAATTTGTTAACAACTCTAATTCCAGAACATTCTGTTAAATTATTTTGTTCATTTTAATGTTTTATACAGTAGTCCATTGCTACTTCGTGGTTCGTTTATTGCGGAATCGCTCCATCAGTTTTACAAAATAAGATTGGATATGACACAAAATTGGCTGATTGATGGATGAGCTGCACGATCGGCATGGCATTTTTATTTAAAAGGAATTCTTTTAAATTATTTAGCACCTGCTGCACATTTGTGCAGCCCAGAGCTGCAGAAAAAGCTTCCTCCTGCAGCTTTGTGCAGCCCTTACTGTTGCAGGATAAACTTCCTCCTGCAGCTTTGTGCAGCCCTTACTGCTGCAGGATAAACTTCCTGCTGCAGCTGAACAGCTGATCAGCTGTTCACTGTGCAGACCGGAGGAGTGGGTGAGGCCAAGAGCGCTTGCAGGTGGCAAAGAGCAGTGGAGGCAGGGAGCTGAAATCGTGACATTCTGTGCTCTTTTAGTGCATTTAGTTTAGAAACATTGTTTAGAATACTGCAAGTGTGGGAAGGGTTTAAAACACCTTTACATATATACACACGCACCAAAATAAACTACTACTTGTACTACTATTCCTACTTCACGGTTTTTCACTTATCGCGGGTCTTCAGGGTACGAATCCCTTGCGATCAATGAAGGACTACTGTATTTTGCTTGTGTTGTCCTAATAAAGTCATAGCTTTTTGGAATTATGATCTCTGGTTTTAACAGGCCAGTGTTGAAATGTAGAAGCCATGACTCAGCACCATTATTTTCTGAAATATCCAAAGGTTTGTTGAGTTCTACTTCTTAAATTACTGCTATTGTGTGGAGAATCAACCAGAGCTTAAATGCATGTTTGACAATCTGTGTAAACCAAATGTTAGAGAGAAAATATGTGGCTTGCATGGAAAAACGACTGTACTCACCACTCCCAAACTCGAAGACTCTTGTCGTCTGACGTGCTGACAAACCGGCGGTTCTCATCAACAAAGGTGATGGTGTTGACAGCACCCAGGTGGCGATCGTACTCCTGAACCACCTCGCCTGTCCTGATGTCCCACTGTCACACACACAGGAGCAGAAAGCAGGTAAACAGTGTTATCTAGGGTGAGCCGAAAACAAACAAGGATGATTAAAATCTATTAAAACAATCCTAGAAAAGCACACATTTTCATAAGGAGAGCAAACAAAGAGGAGATTAGATGAATAGAGCAGCATTAACTGTGCCAGTGCTGTGTATTTATTTAACAGGAGTGATTCACAAACAGGCTTACGCTTCTAATTTTCAGAGAATTGCATGAATTAAAATGTAAAGATAACATACAGTTAGCTCCCCAGACAACTAACAAAAAAAAAAAAAAAAAGATGCAACCGTTTCCAGTTTCATTTGTTCCCTTTTATTTAAAGCTTACCCTTGGGGCGAGGAGCCATCTGGTCTAAAAAAAACCTGGAGGGGAACTGCATGATTTAACACTAACCCTGATTGCCGGGCCACACTGTAACAATGGACACTAGTCAGAATAACAGTTATGATCCAAAGTTTGTTGTCACATTAAAATAGTTCTTCCAAATTATTGGTTTTTTTTTTTTTTAAACAGATTGCTGTCACAAATATCCAGTTTTTTTACATGTAAGAATTGAAGTACTTGTTCTAAGACCTGTTTACCTGAAGCTGTTATATGATGGTTGCAAATTTTCTACCCTTTTTTTTTTTGTTACACAATATTTTCTTCCTTTTGCCTCTTTTCTACCCTTGAGTTGGCTGTGATTAATGAGTTGCTCTAGTCCTGTCAGCCACTGCCTCTTCTTGCACCCACAGCAACAAACACAAGCGCTGAAGTATCACACACAAGTGGATTTCAAAGTCCTGCGGTAGAGTTGCATTCGGTTATAAAAAAAATCCAACCCCGTCCGAGCCCGTAGGCATTTTGTCCGAACCCAACCCGACCAATTAACGGTAATTAGAGGCCCGAACCCGAAAAAACAAAAACGGGGTTTTTTTTTTATTAAGCTTTTACTGCCTTTGTAAGCAAATCAGTTTGATGATAGTTTTAAAAACATATTTCAAAGAAAGTGAGATAAGATTTCTTGTTTATTAACAAGTCACCAAATGGATATTAACAAAACGATTAGCCTAAAAAAAATTAACTCTAAAGATAAGCTATTATAACCATGAACAAAAATATTTTTAGAGCAAAATTATTAGGAAAAATATAGAACAAGGCTATTTTAATTGAGCGCGCTGCTCGCTTCGGCTTTTGTAGCTTCAAATGCTGCAACTTCCTTCAGTGCAGATGGCAGCAGAGGGCGGAGTGGGATACGTGCGGCCGATGATCCGGTGATCCATCCGACTGGTCAGCGGATACATGCAGTCGATAATCCAGTGATCCATATGAAGCTTAACTGGATATTTTTTTTGCCTCTTTCAACTGGCCGGTCAGTAGACGCGCACAGCTGATGATCCATTGTCTATCTGAAGCTTAAGAAGTTTTTTTTACCTCTTTCAACCGGCTGGTCGGACCTGAGCGTGCACCTGACCTGACACACATCAGCAGGTTTCACTGTGCTGGCTTTGTATAGTGAGTTCTCCCATTTTTAGTTTTGTTTAATAATTTCCAGCTCCATTATGTCACTTGTTGTGGATCATTTGCAATTCCTCAGATGTGTGATAAAAGCAGGGCGGGCGGGGCCACATGTGGAATTGTTGCGCAATGCGCCTGCGCTTCTCTCACCTTTCACAGTCTGATTAACAGCTGCACTCTATGCTTTACCTGAACAATCTTTTTATCCGACATGCCAGCCACAAAAAGATTCTGCTTGTCTTCGTCTGGGTTGAACTTGACGCAGTATGGCACCTTCCTGTTGGTGAAGCGGGCGATACACTGGCCTGTGAAGGGAAGCAAAAGACTGAGATAAAAAATATAAAAAATCCACGGCTGATTTTCAGAAAGGTGCAGTCAAGTTGCCTAAAATTTATAGACCCTGCTGAAAGTCACAGACTGCGTAACCAATCCCTGCAGGTGGTGACAACTCAGCTTTAACTGAAAATACTTTTTTTTTTTGTTTATTCTGGAGATACAATTCACCACTAAGCAATTCCAAATACTGTGGTATAAAATGAGAATGAGAGCAGGAAAACAAATCAGCTGCAGCAAGAACAATTATTAAAAGGAGTTAATTTTGTTTGCAAACTCTTTCTGAAAGAGAAGTCTTTGGATGGTTTGGCTTCAAAAGGTGGGGGAGTTTACTCGTGTCTGCCCTCTGCTGGAGAAGCAGTTGTGAGCTCAAATAAGTGGCAATTATGATGCATAAAGCAAAGAAAGCTGTAAAGTCACTAAATTTACAGACATAAACAGATATTTGTGCTCATTACTTGATCTATGAGAGAACTGAGTTCCTGTCTTAAGAAATACTACAGAAATGTCAAAATATTTAAGGTCTGGAATGACCACCACTTGAAAGAATTAAATACTGACAGCATAAGAAAATTTATATTTTTAAAAGCATAGTTTGTTTTAAAATGGCATTTTGCAAAAGTATTTAATTTAAAACCTGTTTTTTTTTAACAGTTGTGTTATTTGGGGTTAAGCACTTTCACAGATTTAATATTCTCCAGGCAAGTCATAAGTTACAACACTTCAGTATTTTTTATCTGCAGTGTGTTTTCTTGACTACTCAATTAAATCAACATAATGAAAGATATCCATTCTGTCATCTACAACCAAGATACCTCTAAAAAATAAAGTTTTATTTAATAAATTCACCTGTGCAGAAAGTATCCATTCTAAAAAATAAAAAAAAAGGGTTCAAATAAATTTATGTCTAAAACCAGGGCGGTACTTTCTATTTAATTTTAACGGCTTAAAATTTAAACCAAAACTTTTTTCGTTTTTTTTTAATAATCTAAAACCAGACTTTAGTTTTTTTAATATTCAGGCACACTGATATTAACTACCCAACAATTTTCAGTCAGGTCATCTGGACAGTTTCTTTTTTTGTGCTGGGCTTCATGGATAGAAGGTGAAACGTTACAGCACAAAAAAAAAAGAAACGGTCCAGATGACCTGACTGAAAATTGTTGGATTGTATACCTGGATTATTGAGCATGGACTTTATTGATATTAACTACCGGTATTTGAATGTGCAATATATACGGTACACGGTAGAAATTAGACATTTAGCCTACTGGCTAACTGCAGTAATGATGTGTCTGATGTAAAATCAGAGTTGCCAGATTTAATAGTTACTTTTTTGAGTTGAAAACTGTAAGTGGTGTTAAAGTCTTGTCTTTGAGAGCTAAGTAGCGAAGCTACAAGCTAACTGTGGCCGGATTGCCGTAGTGTTGCGGTATTCGGATGCATGCGCAACGCTGTGTTCCGTCAAAAGTTGTTTTTTTTTCCGTCGAAAGTTAAAGTAAGCGTTGGTCAGCTTTAGAGAAACATGCTCTCTGATCTGTAAAAGAACGCTGTGTTGTGTGATTTTACTGCAAGACCCTCTGGTCAAAGCCACAGAGGAAACTGGTCGCCATTTTGTGTCAACTCTCCATTAAAGCGGAAGGAGACGTCAACTAGAGGGTTGGAGGGTGAAGTGTTGTCAGTGTACAATGCTGCTCTGTTATTGTTCATTTCTTAAGTGAAAAGACTGGAAACTGTTGAGTTAACAACATATTCTTTTGTTTAAAACATATGGCTAAAACTACATTAATACATCCATCTGTCCATTATCTTTTATCTGCTTCTTCCATTTTGGGTCACGGGGGTCGCTGCTGCCCATGTCCAGCAATCACTGTGCAAGGGGCGGGGTACACCCTGGACTGGTTTCCAATCCATCACTGGGACACATAGAGACAAACGAGACACACAACCATTCACTCTCTCACTCACACCTAGGGACAATTTAGAGTTACCAATCAGACTAACATGCGTGTTTTTGGTCTGTGGGAGGAAACCAGAGTACCCGGAGAAAACCCACGCATGCTCGGAGAGAACATGCAAACTCCACCCAGAAAGGCCCTCGGACCAGGATTTGAACCAGGGACCTGCTCGCTGAGAGGCAGCAGCTCTACCAGTTGCGCCAACGTGCTGCAGAAGCCTAATACTTGATTAATGAATTATTTTAAAACTCTCTGGACCTAGTGGTGGAATTTTCTTAATTGAGATTATTTTGTGGTATAGCAGTTTTCAAAATAAATGATGGCAAAAGACACCCTATGCTTTTGTTTTCATTTCTATTGAAAGTTTTATACAAAAAACATATTGTGATATACATCGTTATCGCCACCCTTCACAATACATATCGTGATATGAATTTTATACCATATCGCACATCCCTAACTGGTATCAGTATATATATTAAAAGTTTGTAAAAAAGCAAAAATTACAATCTACACGAGGCTGCAGGCTGAGCACAAATTCTATTTATTCAGTCGTGTTGAAGAACGTGTAAAAACAACAGAGCAGTGGTGTGAGGCACAGCCTACCTGTCTCGGAGTCCCACAGTTTAAGGTATCGATCATACGCTGCGCTGAGAAACTGGGTTCCAGTGTTATTGAAGCAAATGTCTCGCACTGCTTTGCTGTGACCTAACACACAGACAATGTTCTTAATTAGACAATGATTCAAAGTTAACTTTATACACGCATCAGTTTTATGCTGTTCAGGCAGAGATATTATGAATTATCCTTAAAGTAAGACTAAAACAAAAATTACCAGCTTCAATCATCTCTTCAACGTGGGGGAAGTGGTGGCGCAGAGGTTAGAGAAGGCAAGCCTGTGATCAGGTTGCCAGGTAGGAAAGGTACAGCACCCTCATTTGCCCCAAACTAAGCAAAGCCCTAAGCTACCCCCCACTCCCACCCTGATGCCCTAGATAGCAGCTCTCTGCTCCACACATGTAGGTTATGGTATCTTGGTGGTCAGTGCGTCAGGAAGGGCATCCAACATAAAAACAATTGTTAAAATCTTTATTTGAAGAAAAAGGGAGTAGAAAGAGGAAGAAAAAGCATCTCTTCAACTGCTTTACATTAATTCTTCTAATCTCACTCACTCAACATTTGGCTCTTCTTCATACAGCGTAGATCCCTGTGGTCTCAGGACAAACAGATTCCTCTTGTTATAGTTAACTTTTTTTAATCAAAGGTTTGCCGTTTCCATGGCGATAACAGCCCACTGAGGCCAAACGTCTGCCTGCACAATTCCTCCATCCTAGTCTGGTGGCAGACTAAAAGTAATGCCACTGTTGCAAAAAGGTTTTGAATTGTGCAGCAAACATTACTCCAGAAAGCAGCAAACACCTTCCATGTCCCAGAATGATGAAAACATCTAAATATAATTATGTGTATTTAATTACTTATATCCCCAGAACAAGTGTAAATGTTTTTCTTGTTTGGTGATTAAAGTAAATTGCACTTTTTTTTTCTTTTTTTTTTAAGTAAATTGCACATGCTAACCAAAACAACTGTTAGAAAATGAAGGACCAATGAATCACACCTCATCTTAATTTCTTAACAAAATTAAATAAAAATAAATTAAAAAAAAGCTAAAAACTGGAAAAAAAAAAAAAGATGGTTTAGAAAAAGAAACATCACAGAGAGCAGGTTAAAACATAAGTACGACGGAGCTTTAGGGCCACGCAAAAAAAAAAATACAATTACATTGCCACATTAAAAAAAAAAAATTTTAAGCCATAAAATTACGAGAATAAAGTCGTACAAGACTTCTCTTTTTTTTTTTTTTACAGCTCTTGTTTATGTTTTTTTTTTTTCCACGAGTCGGATCCACTGTCAATCAATCAAGTAGGCGTGTCAGCAAATGACCAATCTGAAGCTAAATGTCACAATATTATCCGAACCGAACTCCGACACATAATACAGGGTTTACGCATTTTAACTGTGGTAAAATGAAGAATGTTGAGCATCTTGTTAAGTTATACTTTGGTACGGGTTTGACAAATAAAGAGATAGTTAATCTGTCGGCACATCAGCATCAGATTATTATCAGTATCAGGACTTTGAACCTGCTTACAGTAAGGTGGTATGCTCTGATGGGCTGCAGCCCAGCTCTCTGCACGTAAGGAGCATTTAGCTTCGGATTGGTCATTTACTGACACGCCTACTGAAATGATTGACAGATCGCATTGTGGATCCGACTCGTGGAAAATAAATAAACAAGAGCTGGCTGTAAAAAAAAAAGTTTTTTTTTTAAAAGTCTCGTACGACTTTATTCTCGTAATATTAAGACTTATTTGACTGTATTCTCATAATTTTATGTCTTAATTTATTTTTTCTTAGCGTGACCCTAAAGCTCCATCGTACATAAAAAGGTGCAGAAACAACGTGTAAAAGTTGAATATCTCTACAACACAACCAGAGTTCCAAATCTGCAGAAGAAAAAAACTAATATTGTCATCAACACCTTCTTCTTGGAACGCATACAGGCAGACACCGACATCCATTCACTCCTAAACTGTGTCTTCTCTCTCTGTTCACCTCTTCCTCTCCATGCCTTCAGCCCTTTCTCGCCCCTTGTTCCCTTTCAGCCCCATGGCTGCTGAATTATGCATGTTCTGTGAAGGAGCTGACAAGCAGAACCACAGCTGCAATCTCTATTCTGACAGGGTGCCGTCTTTGGGAAGAGGAGGAGGAGGGTGCCCTGCATGAATTAGCTATGCAACCCCTCAAACTCCATAGAAAAATACTAATAATAGAAAATAATAAATTTAAAAAAACTGCATCTCTGTCAGTAGACACTAATGTTCCAGCACTGCTGAGCTTACAGTCTGTCACCGCGCTGTATTTCCCACAAGGTTTGGCTTATTTAGACCTTGAGCTTTTCGTCATGTCAGCATGTTTAGCGATGACCCATTGTTGTTCGGAAAAGGTCCTTGTTAAGCGGTAAGATACTTAAAGCTTCCTACAAAGAACAAGTGAGATTTTGACTCTACCACATTAAAATTCTGTATTTAATTTTGGATTCGAGATTCAGAATAAAAACTCGCCCTACTTACCGATAAATGTACGAAGACACCTCCGCTCGCCATACACCTCCCACAACTATGGAGACAACAGACAACACATGAACAACCAACTTATATTATTAGATGTTTATTAACACCTAAGATGTTTCTTAAGGAAGCCTTCTACAAGCCTAAAAAGGATGCATCTGGTCTGACAGAAATTTACATCAATCCATTCATTTATTGTTTTTTTTAACCTGCTTTATGTACACCCAGTCTTCGAGGGTTCAATCCTGCATCCATTAGCAGCCAACTCACAACGCAAAAAGAAAAATAACTAGCAAAGGCCTTGTCCACATAGAAACAAGTTTTTCCAAAACAATCCTTTTTTTTGTCTTTTTTAAATTATTATTTATTTTTACAGATAGTCTTGTATATGACCAAAAAACGGCAGAAATCACCATAGCAGCTATGCCAGGCCTGTATGTGGCGCTGTAAAGCTGCCATCAAAATACACAAAGAGGAAACCAAGCATGGAGCATGAGCAGGAAGCTTGCACGTTGGGTACAAACTGTCAACACCAAACTCAAAAGTTCCCCCCCACCTTTTCTCACTTACAATGAAAGTCAAGCACTGTACGTAGCGTATGTTGGTGTTCATTAGCCTTGTGTGCCAAATGGAATAAGACAATATATTGAGGTTTAACTGTAGCGCTGCAGTAGCTTGGTGGTCAGTGCTGTGGTCTTATAATCCTGAGGTTGCAGGTTCGAGCCCAAGTTGTATCAGGAACGGCAACAGTGTAAACAATTGCCAACTCTTTCATGCGAGTTTGCTCGCTGTGGCAACCCCTCAAGAAGGGGAGTAGCCGAAAGAAACTTACTATTAAGGTTTAACCGTAGCTAAGCAACTAAATAGGCATTGATTTCATAAGGCTGAATTTTGGCTGTCTACACAAAAACATACGAGTGACGTTTCAAGGTCTTTTCACTCGGCAACATGATTATTTACCTTGATCTTACAGTCCATGGAGCAGGAGAGCAGCAGATGACCAGAGTTGGGGAATAATCGGATAGCACTGACACCCTGGAGAATAGGCAGACAGGACAAACATTTAACTTGAACTTTTTGTTACAGAGACAATCATTACTGTTACTTGTAGTTCTGGTAAATATATTAAGCTTGGCATCATCTTTCCCAAAAGTAATAATTAATATTACCATATTTTCCAGCGTATAAGTCACCGTTTTTTGCATAGATTTGTCAGTTCTGCTACTAATATGCCAAAGTGACTTATATAAGTTTTTTTTCCATATTCATAACACAATTTTTGACCGACACTTAAAATTTCAAAGTACTGCACCAGCGAGACCTCCCGTGCACGCTCGCTTCACTCAGCTGGTGCAAGCGGAGGAACGCTGGAGAGCTAGCGGCTCCAGCTGTGATGGATGGCGCCCCGCCACCCAGCCGAAATGAAGCTCTTTCAACCATTAAATAAGTGCATAATAAATACGACGGGTCAGCGGTGACGCATAATAAATGCGACTTACACGCCAAAACGACTTAGATATGTTTTTTCCTTCTTCGTGATTCTTTTTTGACTGATGCGACTGATACTTTGGAGCGACTTATATGCCGGAAAATAAGGTATTTTTTTTACTGTGATTTACTGAGGTGGATATTAATTTTAATTTTGTGTTATATTTCACTCAACTCTAAATTACAATTTGATTGCTAACAGACAGAAAACACTGTTATCATCACATCTGTTTGATGTTTCATGATATGAAACACTGCATGATTTGATATTATAACAAAATGTTCGGATTATTGCTATTACAGTTGTTTCAAGAGGCACATGAAGTAAACCATAATGCACCAGGAACAGACGGCACATTTGCATAGCAGATGTTTGTTTATCTTCCCCCAAATAGAAATTGTCATGAATTCCCTCAAGATAAAGAAACAATTTTCAAAAGTGTCACCAACTTTTCAGACGTGGGAAAATCTATACCAATTATGTTGATATCAGCATTTACACGTGTTTGTTATCTTTTCTAACCTCTTTGTATTTCCAGTTGGACACCAAAAGCTCAAACTCCATAAACAAAACAAATAGGAGCCAATTTAAAACTTGAATGGTTCCTTTTCCCCGAGGCATACTGGCAAATCAAAAGCTTGAATCGGATATTTTATGAAATAACTAAATGTTTGCCTTTACATCTGAATTTAGACACAGTTTTGAAAGACTCAAAATAATCTTGAACATGTAAGAGATGAAAAGATTATATGTAGCTGCTATTATTTTATTATAAAAAATACCTGGCTGCCTTTTACTGAAACTCTTGGAAATCTTACCAATATTTGGAGTGTCTTGCTCTGCTTACATTTTTTGATTTCAAACGTATTCAATTAAACAAATTTGACTGCTTCACCAGAAGCTTATCATTACGTGCAAAGATGCATTTCCCACTGACCTTGGTGTGTCCAGACCAGACATGAATCTGTTTCTTTGGGAGGTAACATTTATCCGGAGCATCCGGGGACCGCAAGTTGATGCCCACATCCTGTGGGACATGAAGGTATGACCTGCCCTGGTAGTCATACATCTCTTTAACTATGGACAAAAAAAAAATACAGAAAATGTGATGGACACCTTTAAAATGGGTTTAAATCTTTAAGTGTGATAGACGGATTCATTGGATGAAATTTTTATATTTTTTTTTTCTTCTTTCGGCTGTTTCCTTCTTTAGGGGTCGCCACAGAGAACTAAGTCGCACAAAGACTTGGCAATTGTTTTTACACTGGCTGCCCTTCCTGACGCAACCACAGACCACCAAGCTACCACAGCCCTCTGTGTGGAGCAGAGAGCTGCCATCTAGGGCGCCCGGGGGAGCAGATGGTAGGGGTTAAGGGCCTTGCTCAGGGGCCCAGAGTGGTGTAAATGAGGGTGGAGACAGGTGTGGGTGCTTCACCTATCCCACCCACATTTTGATGTTGTTGGTACTGGGAGTTGAACCGGCAATCTTCCGATCACAGGCCCACTTTCTCTAACCTCTGCGCCACCACTCCCAATGGATGAATTGGATGAAAATATATTTTAAATGCTTAAAAATATACACAATTTAAAACAAGATGGTGTAATTTCATCAGCAATTTTTGGGAACATCATGCTGTTTCCAAGCACTGCTCGCATTTAACTCACAACAGAAAATTTGACTTTAAACTTACAATAAATTTAAAAAAAAAGGTTCATTTTATACAAATTCCACTAGAGTAGTCCCTCGCTACTTCGCAGTTCAATTTTTGCGGTTTTTCAAAGTAAGACTGGACATGACACACAATTGACTGATTGATGGATGAGCCGCACGATCGCCACGGATTTTTTTTAATTTAAAATAAATTATTTTAAATTATTTAGCAACTGCTGCACCTGTGTGTAGCCCACATGTGCAGGGAGAAGCACCCTCTTGCAGCATGTCATAAACTACGTTCTGCAGCAGAGAAATGGATGTGGCTGAGAGAGCTGGCAGGTGGCAGAGAGCAGAGTTCATGACATTCTTTGTGCTTTTAAAGCGTTTAGAGTTTATAAACAATGTTTAGAATATTGCAAGTGTTTCACTTATCGCAGGTGGACTGAGAACGGAAATCCCGCTATAAACGAGGGACTACTGTATACGCCTTTGACCTTCAAAATTTAAGAAATCCACTGTACCATGGAGAATGGTCTTCTCCTCTCCAGGAGCCTCTTCTTCATTCTTTCCTTTCTTCTGCCTTTTGGCTGTGATTTCATCCAGTTCTTTTTGCTCTTCCTGTACAGATAAAAACAATTGAAAATTACCCAGAAATTATCCAATTTTATTTAATTAGACATACAGTGGAAAACTAAAATTTGTTTAATCTCAAATGGATGCCTAAATTTGAAAGCCTGAGGAGGTTGTGTGGGCGACTAGGACCATACAGCCAAGGAGAAGCAGCAAATGTTGCACCAAGTGTCTGATCGGCTCAACAAAAATGCATTTACCAACAGGGTAAAAACAGGCAGAATAGATGCTACTGCAGTAATTTTGTAAAATGATAGTGGGGCACTACAAGAGTTATTTCAGTAGTCACTTAAAACAACTGAAAGGAGGCAAATTGTGTTTTGAAAGTGAATTATCTGCAGCACTACGGTAATAAACATAAATGTAAATGCCGTTTAGTTGGACGATTTTATGTTAGTCTAACACCGACTGCCTGTATATCCGGCATATCATCAAGCACTGATTCTCATCATCTCATACGGAGTAGTTAATGTATTATTGTCTCACTACCCTTTTACACAGAATATTAAACAAAACATCACCTCTGAAGGTTTGGCCACATCTTTCTCATCCACATATTTCGCCCATGGCCCAAGGAAGCTGTCAATTTCTCCTGCATCTCCACCTTTGACCTTCTTTCGTTTCTCCGACTTCTTCTGACCAGTTTCAAACACAGTCAGTCCTGAAGGGACAACAGCTCATGATACATCTATCACGGATGTTTAATACTTTATAATATACACTATTTTAGTTTTAAAGAAACTGAATAGGGCATGCATAAAATTAACAATCAACAATGGTTACCTTTGTTTTTCTCAGCCTCATCCACTGCACCAATGTAGCTGGTGGAGGATAACTGGTGTGTGTCAACAGAAGGATCTAAAGCATAACCTGAGGAAGGAGTGTAAGATCACCATTGTTTAAACTGGGTCAGTGGACTGGTCAAACTATACAAATGATGTTTAAACAATGTAAATAAACAAATATAAATTATGTTACCAAATGAGGAGAATGTCCTTCTTTGCTGTTCAAACATAAAGTCATTGACGTGAGCAGGTTCTGCATAGCCAGATAACATGTTTCTGGGAGCAGCCATCTGCTGGGTCCTATATGGGTTTACTGGCCCAAACTAAGAGGAAATATTGAAAAATAATCATTTGCAATGCATGAAATGAACTTTCAAAGACTCTAACAAAGGAAAATGGCTTTACACAGAGCCACTGACTGATTCATGTATTTTTTGGACATCAATGATAGAAAACTTTTGAACCAACAAATTAAAGGATGAATGTCTGAATGAGTGGATGAAAAAAAAAAACAAGTACTAATTACTTTATCCCCATAAAAACAGTTCTTCTGTGTTTTAGAGCAGTAAAGGCATCACTCAGCAGATTTTCTTCTACTTTTAATAGGCATGATGGATGCGGTTGAATATACAAATTAACAATAATTCTGTCACTACTGTTGCTATGCTTTAGATAATTTACCTTCTATTTAAAAAATGACCCACTCGTTACCTTTTAACACCTCCATAACAAAGAACCAATATTGCAAAAATTAATGTTAAATAAAATCATGCTCCTCTAACCTCCCAGCAGCTCGGACTAACCTCACCTCACCTCACTCAGGTTTGTTTTAGAGGAGAACTTTTCCAAGCACATTTAATGCAAATATACAAGTAGTTGACAATGTTGTATGCAAAAAGCAGCAGTTCTATCTGCATAATAAAATTACTATGCTATTGTTGAAAATACCATAATCTTGTCAATCAAGGGTTAAGGTGTTTAGTGGCAATAAAAGCAAATAGGCTATTGCTTGAACCAACTGAAGTGCAATGCTAGAAAGATTTAATAACACGTTTATGCCTCAAGAATTATTTAGCTTGGGATTCACTGATTAAATATCAATTTTGCATAATTTCAAAGAGTGCATATGTGGAAAAAAATAAAGCTGAGGAGCAAGGGGATCTTTAAACACAAATAATGAAAATTTAATTGAAGTGAAAAACATGAATTAGATTTGAAAGAAGATCAAATTCACGATGATCTTAAAATGTTCTGCAACTGCAATACTTTAATGTATGCCACATGCAATAATGTTAATATGATAATAACTCTCTGTATGAGTAAGACTGCACAAACTTTGTATATTTTGTCTTACCTCGGGTGCAAACATGGTTTCAAATGTTGGGTTATAGGAGACTTCTTTTAGTGAAGGGTCCAAGTGTGTGCCAGTTTCGACAGACTCCTGCCAAGATAAACAATCAGGCAATCGGATTATATCAAATAATTATGTATAGTTTAGCAATAAACATCAATAGGACAACTATGAAACTAATACTCTGTGAGTTGAGGCAATACGTGTTTTCTTATGTGATTTTTACTCATATTAAAACTGTTCATTTGAATTTAAAACTCATTCAATCGAATTCAGTTTATTTATCCAGCGCCAAGTCACAACAGAAACAATAAACTAACCACTATAGTTTCCGTTCTACGCTAACGTCACTTAGCTTGCTTTCATTAGCTTACCTTAACGGCGACCTCAGGGGCCGAATTTAAAACAGACAAAGACATTGCGGATCCACTCTGTAAAGGTTTAAGATGAGCCGTAGCGTCCGGTTCCACCGAGTCAACTTTCCTGACACTGGTACTGGACTCTGACTCATTTTCAGAATCAGAATCGCTACCGTAAGAAGCGAGGGAAGATATGGCGGCAGACATGTTGAATGTTATGAACTGCCCGGAAGCAGGAGGGCGGGACTTCCGGGGAAGGAAAACGATACTGAACAGAAGTGTATTATAATAGTTTAGATTAGATTAGATTAGATTAGATTAGATTATAATTAAGGAATTTAGGAAACAATTGGTAAATATCTAAAGAAAAACCAAGACAGTTATTAAACCCACTTACAAAAAATCAAATACAGTACTGTAAATAAATAAACAAATATTTATGGCTCTATTCTCCTGACTACCAGAAGTTCAAATGTGTCCTCCTTGAAGGACATTTGTAAACCTGAATGTTTCCCACACACAGCTACTGAATTAACTCCTTTAGCTCTCTTCAGAGGACATTTAGGGCTTTTCCAAAAGCCAAATATGAAAGAGTGGGCTTTGGTACCTTTCTCTTCCTCATCAATAATAACCTATTGAACATGGATATTTATTTTTCCTGGTAGTTGAGAGGCTATGGAGTAGAAATAGGGAACCCACTGCAATGTTATGAAGACTGGTTAAAAAAAAACACAGAGTAAGAAAAAATATATTTTTCCCTCAAATTAGTGGTTGATGTGTCCTTAAATTAAACATTTGCTATCAAAATTTGGGAACAGCTGCCAACGAACATGTACATTTATTTTCCAAACAGCCAGAGTGACTGAAAACTAGCTATCAGTCAGGTTAACCTTTTTTTTAATGTTTTAAACTTCATAGTTTGCAATTAGCATATGTAAATAAAAAACAATAAGGAATGATTAAAGAATTTTGCTCAATAATGTGTATAACATAAAAAAAGGCTACAATTTCACAATTATATGCTGTTTGCCGAGTTTTGATTATTGGTCAGTAAACTGACCTGGTGCCCCAATTTTAACGAGAGCAAATAAATGTAAAGTGAGGAGAAATCATCATCTTTCTCCCTCGCTCACATCTTCTACATATTGTCATATTATGAAATGCTAATGAGAGTCCATAGTCAGAATTTTGAAATAATATCTCAAAAATATGGGCAGCACAGTGGTACAGTTTGTAGAGCTGCCGCCTCTCAGCAAGCAGGTCGTCCTGGTTCACACCCTGGCCAGGGGCCTTTCTGGTTGGGGTTTGCATGTTTTCTCTGGTCATGCATGGGTTTTCACCGGGTTCTCCAGTTTTCTGCTCCACAGACCAAAAAAATCGGTAACTCTTTATTGTCCCTAGGTGTGAGTGAGAGAGTGAATTATTGTTTGTCTCTGTGTGTCCCTGTGATGGACTTGTGACCTGTCCAGGGTGTCCCCCACCTCTCACACGTGACTGCTGGACATGGGCACCAGTGACCTGAAAAGGAAGAAGCAGGTAAAAGATAATGGATGGATGGATGGATGCTGAATACAGTGGTGTGGTGGACAGCTTTGTGGAGTGATGTGGATAGCACCACCTGCAACTCAACGTTGGAAAAACTAAAGAGCTGCAGGTGGACTACAGGAAGAAGACCAGCCCCCCAACCCTATCAACATCAAGGGTACTAAGGTGGACACTGTGGACTGCTACAAGTACCTGGGGGTCCACCTAGACAATAAACTAGACTGGCAGCTAACACCAATGCCCTCTACAAGAAAGGGCAGAGTTGCCTTTTTCTTCTGAGGAGACTCAGGTCCTTTAACGTCTGCAGGACGTCTCTTGCATTTCTTCTGAACCATAATTATGGACTTTTTTATCAGTTGGTCCCTCAACTCAATTTACAACATTTCTTCGAAGAGAAGACAGGCTTTAGGCGAGCTGATTTGCCCTGTTGGCACGCACGCAGCTGGATATCTCATCGACTTGGAAGACTTGATGTGTCTATCTCTGCTGTCATTTGTGGATTTTAAGGACGCATATTTAATTGGATTTTCAATAACTGGTTCCTGCTTTTTGGATTCGGCTGGTTGCTGGTTTTGTCAATCGTTCAAGGAAGTCGTCGGCAGCAAATTTGGACCTGATCACACCGCTTGCCTTTATGATGGCTTGGTTCGTGTCTCGAGTACCCGGACTCAAATGCTTTGGGCAGAATAGATCAGATCTTGGGGATTTTACTCAGTCACGTTCCATTGGTGTGGCCATGTATTTTGGACATTTCGGAACTGAGTGGACCAAAACAGACTCAAGGTAGATGTCATTAAGTTCTGCCTGTCCCCAAAACAACTGTATGTTTATCTGAATTTGGCTCCCTTGGCTGGCCTTGAAGGTCATCTTATCTGAATTCGCCTGGAGAACATGTGAACTGATGCTCACCACCCCCTCCCTGAGGAATTCCCAACTGATAACCAGATGAAACCAGCTGAATAAACTTTTTGTCATCATTTCAGGACTCTTGGATTCTCATAGATGTTATTCTTGGCCATTCCTCGCCATCCCCATGTATGTTTTTAAATCACTGAACAGTTCCGCCCCATCCTATCTCACTGATCTTCTGCAGCCATATGTCCCACCGCGCTCTCTGAGGTCAGCAGACCAGATGCTTCTCTCAGTCCCAGAAACCCGTCGTAAGCTCAGAGGTGACAGGGCTTTCTCTGTTGCAAGTCCACGACTGTGGAATGAGTTGCCACTGAGTGTCCGGCAGGCTCCCACACTCTCAGTCTTTAAGTCTCGCTTGAAGACCCACTTCTATTCGCTTGCCTTTAACACG